TGACAAAACCCCAGATGGGAACATTGATAAGAACTTGATTCCTTAGGAAAAAGTCTACATCCATTAATCAGTTACCATCCATCAGTGCCCTCTGGTAAGTAAAAACATCAGGGAGCAAAATACAGGGTAATTCTCAAAGTCCAGGTGTTTCTCACAGAGGTGCTTGGCTTGATTGTAGTTTTTGAGGACATTAAGCCACGTATCTGCTTTTAGAATTGGGATCAGATTTACTCAGAGGATCCCCTCTCTTCAAGGAACTACAAACAGCTTTGAGAGCTGCACTGTGAGATGAGGTAAAACACAGTGCACCTCTAGGAAAGGATAAGGAGTGGCTAAGCTGTTCATACAAACACTGGATGAGATGAAAGATGAAAGGAAATATTTAGTCACCTTTTGGGAACAGCTGGTATGAAAATATTTAACAGGCAGGTCTTTTATGCACAGGCAGAGCATTCTAACTAAGCTTAAATAGGCAGGAGCAATATAGTGCAGCTGGCCAGTGTGTGAATACGGTAATAGGAGAATTAAAAGCTTTCCTTCTCATTTGCTCATGCAGCTCAGATGGTAGCTAATCATGTCCTCTAATTTTAACAACAGAATTGGGAAATGTACCAAAAAATGCAGCTTGTAATAAGAACAGAGGTGACAAATTCTGTCCCTGGGACTGAATGACAAAGAAACGATTCACCTGCCTTCTTCTGTAAAACAGTCTTAGCTGTCTTATTCTGTCCAAAAAGACATGTATTTAAGTGGAAGCTTAATCTGAAATCCATTTTGATAATTTCTTTGAGTGCCACCAGAAAAGTAAAGGCTACTCTGACTGTTTAATCACCCATCAGAAACCTGTGAGCGTTTAAGAGGGCTGTGTTGTAAAGGACCAGGGCATGTAGCAGGTTATGTGTTGTAAGGCTGTTTAAATTGTAGGGTACCCATCTATCTTTAAACTGGCAGGTAAATGGAAGATTTAGTTTTGAGAGTTCCTGGCTCCTGCTTCCCTGTTGGAAATAATTAAGCTACACTTTAGGGAGATTGTCGTAAGTAGTTTGCTTCACAAGTTTTTTTTACAGCTGAGAGTCTGTATTACAGTTCTTGGGGCCTGGGAATCCAAACCACTTTATATATCCATTATATATTAAGTATGCATTCATAACCTGGAACCTGCACACTTTTGTGTGCATGGGTGGTGGGAGATGAAACCCAAGATGTTACCAGAATTCCCATTCTGGGTTAGCCTAAGATCTGTTTGTTTATACCATGCAGTGCATATCCCTGGCCCACGTGTGCAAGACTGTTCCTTGGCAGCATGTTGTCTGAGAAATATTTCAGATGTAAATGTTGCAGGGAGTTTTCCATACTTTTTCATAGGAATGACTGCACAGAGGCTTCGCTTTTCAGAACATGATTTTTGTTTTCTCTTCATCATTCTTGAATGCACTTCATTGTCCTAGTTTGACACCTTTAAATAACTCCAGGAGGCTTCTGACTCACTATTCCTATTATCTCTGGGTTTTTTTCCTCCACCACTAATCCAGAGACATCTGACATTTCCATCTTACCTATAGGACACAAGACTGCATATTGATATTGGGACATCAGGGAGTTCATCCGCCTGTCTCAGAGCTCACATTTCCCTGTGGATCCATCACTTCTTTATGCCTTGGTTACTTTATCTGAAAGGTGCTGCACCTGAGTCAGGGGAACCCTCGCTATCCATACAGGCTTGGGGATGAGGGATTGAGAGCAGTCCTGGGGAGAAGGACTTGGGGTGGATGAAAAGCTGGACATGACCTGACAATGTGCTCTCACAGCCCAGGAAAGTCAGTTGTGCCCTTGGCTGCATCCGAAGCAGTGTGGCCAGCAGGGCGAGGGAGGGGAGTCTATCCCTCCACTCTTGTGTGGCCCCACCTGGAGTGCTGCATCCAGCTCTGGGACACACTTGTGGGCGTCTCCAAAACAAGAAGGGTGTGGACCTATTTGAGCAAGTCCAGAGGAAACCACAAAGATGATCAGAGGACTGAGGCACCTCTGCTCTGGGGGCAGACCGAGGGTTGTTCAGCCTGGGGGACAGAAGGCTCTGGGGTGACTTTATTGTGGCCTTCTTATTATTTGAAAGGGACTTACAAGAAAGATGGGGACAGATATTTTAATAGAGCTTTAGTGATAAGGGATAATTGTTTTAAACTAAAAGAGGGTAGATTTAGATTAGATATGAAGAATTTTTTTACAAAGAAGGAGAACAGGATATAATGGTGTGAAGTGACCAAGCTGGCATCCTCTGGATTGCTTGGTAAACTGGGAACAAGAAAAATTTCACCTTATTTGATATTCTGAGATCAAAGTTAAACGTTTATGAATAAAGAATGTGAACTAATAACCAGAGAAGGGATTGCAGTCAAACTAGAGTAGTCCTATGGTAAAAGAATGCTGGAAAGCACCTGAGGCTGCAACAATAATTTTTGGAGTTCGGGCTTAAATACCAGTATTGTCAGATTTTGTACTTTCTCAAGGTATTTCTTCTCAGCTTGCTGAAATTTTAGCAGCGTAAATCTAGCTTTTGATTTTTTATCTGCTGTTTCCTTTATCCTCCCCAGACTATTAGACTTTATCAGGTCACCCAAGGAGAACCAAATTTATTTCCGTCTTTTTTTTTTTTTTTTTTTCATCATTACTGCTATATTAACCAACTTGCAGGTCCTATATGTTCATCACCACCCTGACCAGCCCACACTCCCTTGCTGTACTGTCTGGCATTTGGGGAAAAAAGGGGAAAACACACGTCTGGGCTCCAGCCCTTTAGCAAGTCAATAACTGCCCATCCCTTATGCTCTTATCGGGTACTGTAGTATGATATTACCTTCCTCGCAGCCAAGAACTCTGAAAATCTGTGTCTCCGTGCCAGATGCAAAGTAAAAACTTCTGACAGCAACTCGAGCCCTTCCTCAGCCATGCCTTTGTTGTTTGAAAGTTTAATTTCTACTTGCTTCCAATAAACCCTGCATTAGATTCTGTTATATCTCAACAGCAAGTGGTTTGTGCACATGCTCTGTTTAAGTACCCAAGATACGCAAATACTTTTGCAAGTTTGATTCTAAATGACACAGACAAATTCTGGAATGTCTTAAGCCCATTTAAACTCCAGAGTTCTTTCACTAGGAGGTTAAGCATATAGGACTAAATGTTTGAGGGGGTTTGGAGACATCAACGATTTTTCAGTAAAAGGAGTTTTACTGGAACCTGGAAACTGTTCCACCACCCTGAGCTTTTTGGGAAGCAAGGACTAGATATTGTTTTCATGTCACATTTTAAAAATGTGGTGTTTCCTGGACATGCAAGGCATTACTGTTGTTCTTACCATAAATTACTTTTGTCCAAAGAGCTCTCTGATCCTTTTCATCAGAAGTCCATTTCATCATAAGGGGCTGAAGACCTCACAGCTCTCTGCTGTGGTGCACCACTTTTCTCCTGAAGCTGAAGTGGATTTTCCAGCCTTATATCAAAAGTTCTTGAACAGCCCAAGTATCCTGTAAATGGAGTATTCATTAGCAAAAGACTAAAAGCAACTTAAGTACAGCTGAATTTCAGTCAGGTGTGATGTTAATGCAGGCTGAGTAGTTTTGAATATTTTATATGCAGCCAGTGACACAGAGAAAAAATGTGCACTGCAGAATAACCCTGGTACGCCTTTCTGTGCTTCCATCCAAGCCCTGCTCAGCATTTCTTCTGGCCACATCTCCATGTCCCCAAAAGGATCTGTGTCCTTACCCTGTAAAATCTATAAAATAGCTCAGTGAAGCAGAAGGCTTGAGGTCAAAACATTTGGAAATTTAGAAGCACCAGACAGAAGTCAGAGAGAAGACCTCATAGGCTGAAATGCTGTGAATTGCCTCTCCTCCCATTGAGGAAGGGAGAGTGTAGTCAGGGTTTGTGAGAGATGGAAAGTAGCCGCCAAGTAATGAGTCTGAAGAGGAAATAGATTCATTTCATTTCATCTGCAGTGCTACACTGCATCAGTATTTGGGCTTTGTTCTTTTCCTTGAAATCAATCCTGTATAGTAATGATGGTAACAGGCACTTTAACACCTGATTCATGAGTATCCCTTCTCCACCAAGTATCTGTTTTTCTAGACAAATACAGTGTAGATAAAAATATGTCTTCCAAATTCATGCCAAGGCTATGCCAGGTTTTAGACAAAAGTCTAGTGCTGGGTAAAAATACTATGCCTGTGTTCTCAGGTCTACTAGGGCTCAGGGAGATTTGGGAAGGCCATCATCCCTGAAAAGGCAAGGTGCTTTAGCTCTTTGCTTTTTGAAGGTAAGTACCAAAATATCCGGCTGTGGCTGTGCTTCCATTAACTCTGATAAGACTTGGGAACAAGCACCATCCTATCAGCTCCAATGTGTGTGGCTCACAAAATATATAGTTGTGCCTGAATGTCTGAGAGGGGATTTTTAATGGGGTGGTAGGACAATAGGGACATAGACGATGTGCAGATTTAGTAGAAATAGAAATATCCTTTCTTAATTTTAAAGAGAGAAGTATTTTAATGAATTCCATCCCCAGAACTGTGGTTTAAGAAGTAATAAACAGGCTTTGTCAGCACTTAACTTTAGCATCAGTAGTTTATCAGCACATTGTTTCCACACTTAACCAGATTTTAATTAAATGTGACTTCCGTTCTGTGCATTGGAAGAGCCTTCCCCTTCGGATTTGAGCATCACAAAAGCTTGAGGAGTGCAAGAGAATTAGAAGGCAAATAGAAGGATCAATCACAGCAGACCCTTGCAATCCACGTCCATCTCTTTTTTGTAATATACTTATTAGATTCTTATTGTCAGGAAGGATTAGTGTTACGAGCTCTAGGAATTCCTTTCATTGCCCTGTAAGGCGAGGTAGTGAAGTGTGTCTGCTTTTCTTAACAATAACACTCTGGATTTTCCCCCTCTCCCTTCTCTCTCTCTCCACCCATATCCTCTCCTCTGTGTTGTCTCCTCTCCCACAGAGATTTGTGCAGCGGACTGCGGAGGACATGGCATTTGTGTCGGAGGCACCTGCCGCTGCGAGGAGGGCTGGATGGGCACAGCCTGTGATCAGCGGGCGTGTCACCCACGCTGCAATGAGCACGGGACCTGCCGCGATGGCAAGTGTGAATGCAGCCCGGGCTGGAACGGAGAGCACTGCACTATTGGTAGGGAGAAAGAAAACCCGACTCCTTTTCCGAGAATAATTGATGATCAGGGAGGAGAAAAGGCGCATGCTTAATTGAATATGTGTGACTTAGTGTAGCATGAGCACCTTTGTTCTTGGATTTCAAATTCTGACATCATACATTTTCATGTGGGAACGAGACAAAATGTCCTTTCATTTGTTGGTGACATGGCTATATATATATTTTATTATCAGACATGAAGTGCACCTATGTGGTGTTTGACAAGTCTTTAAATGTCAGCTAGAAGCTTTTTTTAAAAACATCCCACTTTACCTCTCTTGAGAGGTCTCTCTGTGGCCTCCAAGACCTCTCTACTGTGGTGACAGCATTTTTAGAAACATGCATCTGATTTTAAGTTTTCTTTGCTTTTATTTCCTACGTTATTTGCACTGTCACTTTGCTTGCCAGTATAAAAGAGGAAACTGCAGTCAGATGATTTCTGGCTGGAATTTAACTCTGTCTTGCTTATCCCTTGTCTGTTCTGCTACCTTTCTAACCATTTCACTTCCCTCTTGCTTTGCTTCTGTATTCCTCATTTACTGGCACTACTCATGAGCTCTCTCTATCATGTCTCTTATTATTGATGTTATTATTAATAAGAAGCCAACAATATGCCTGAATCATGCAAAGAGGTTCAGTTCTCATATTAAGCAATTTGCAGCATTATTAAGAACTGCCTTGGCTGCACCTTTTTCCTTCACTCACTTACCTACTTAATGCATTTTCTGTTCTTCCTTCTTTCTGATTGTCATGCATTCAGCCTCTTCAGTTCCCCTTCCGTATATGCTATAAAATCAGTAACTCTAAATTCCCCAGATACCTTTTATTGTATATTAATAGAAAACTAAATTAGTGAATCCAGTTCTGTTCTCAATAATGCCTGTGTGAACCTGAAAAAATTCAGTTGACTTTAGAGGAATGGTTACAGAATGAAAATTCTCCTCCAGTCATTTTATTTTAATCAGCTTCTTTTAAAGACAAGAAAATTTACCTCTATGTTACGTTCATTATGTCATGATAACTAAAAATCACACTTCATCACGACTAACCAATAGCAATACCTGGGCAAAAATCAGCATAGTTATTGTGAGGATTAGCAGCTAAGTTATATGAGACATCACTTCCTTTGCTTGAACACCAGGTGCATTTGCACACACAAAGACAGGAAATGAAGCCTGATCTCAGTATTTTAATTTCAGCATTAGGATAATGGTACAAACCATACCTATGGCTCAATTCTACTTACCATTTATTTATGCTAATGTCACGCTATCACATTATGGTCTCCACATGCATCTCCCTAATGAAAAATATTTAGCTTTTAAAACTTCCTTTGTCTCATTAGACATTGCATTCTGCTTTCTTGTCAATGTCCCTAGCAGCTTTCATTTCTTTTCCTGAGAAAGGGATTGAAAAACCCACCTTTCTTAAATACTTCAAAATGAAAAGAGAGCAGTCCTATGTTAATATAAATCCTCTGTTTCTATAATATTATTTTATAGCCTTTTATTCAAGCAGTTTGATTTGGAAAACAACACAGATTCATGAAAGAGTTTAAAACAACAAAAAAAATCAGCAAAAGGCCCCAAAGACAGGGGACAGTTTTATATGGAAATTATTTATGCAGGGAAAAAATTCATCCCCTTAGTGCCATTTTATTAGTTCTGCTGTAAAACCAAAATGCCATTAGTTCAGTATATGATAATTCTCCACACAGCTGATATGCCTGGACTGTTTTCAAACAACAAGCTTTTATCTTTCATGGTAATTAAATTTATTTGTAGTATTCCTCACTCTAAGTATAAATGTTATCATGGGGAAGGCCAGCACTGCAATGCAGTCAGCATTGAGATTTTGCTGGTGCATACTCTCATTTTGTGTGCTGCTACCTTCCTGTTGCAGCTCTGCCTTGATTTAGGAATCATTTTTTGATACTTAGAGTGCTGGAGCTGTTTCTTTTCACTTTCCCCCCTCCTCATCTCCTTGCATGGTGATTTAGCAACAAATTTGTACATAGTCTCCTGCCTCTGAAGCTGTAAACACTATTTCCTACAGAATATAGGAATATATACAGAATTTCGTTGATGAATGTGTAGAACATAAAGGAAATTTGGCAAAGTTGTAAATACCCGAGAAAATTGAATGGTTTTAGCAAGAGTAATAAGCTAGTTATGTTGGCTCAAATGAAAGGACATTGACTTGGAATTACATTAAGTATGTGGAAAGCATTCCCCTTGTCCTTGTGTAATTTCCCTGCATGGCAAATTGTTCTGTTGATGGTAATTCCGTATATGTCTATGTCATGGCCCGGTTTGCTTTAGCACTGACAACCCTATTGCTGAAGTGATGCTTTACCAGTATTGCCGTGTGTGCAGGTAACACGGTAGAAATGGATGATACCAGTAAGGGACACTGCTTCCATTTCCTATCAAGCATGTGTGAGAGTAAGACATCCTTTTGTTTTGTTGGTCATAGGAGGCTCTTTCTTACGGTGTTCCAGGTACTCTGATCCCAGTGGATTAATTTTGTTTGCTCCTATGAAGAGTTGTGTCACTGAATGTACTACTTTGATTGCTCACATTCAGAGATTTCATTAGAGTAACCCCACTTAATTCCCTACTAGGAAATTGATGCAGAAGCTTGCATTCATCATCCCAATTCAGCAAACTTAGTGCAGGAGAGTAGAGCTGAAAATTGATTATCTAACTGCAGGAATCCTGAAACCCAGCAGAAGGGTTCGGTCAGTTTCTGATAGGAGCAAAACACACCATGACAACAGCATCAGTGCCAGACTTCCGTGATGGGTTCTCCACCATGTTCCAAATTCATCCCTAATTAGAGACATTGCAGGAATTCAAGTTTCTTCTGTTATGGTTCAAATTACATCCAGGAAGCATGGTGGGTTTTAGGAGCATAGAGTTTAAAGATTAAAAAGACCCTCTTACTGTGAGCTCTGAAAGGCCAAATTACAGCTCAGCTCTGTAGTAGGCTGCTCAAGGGCTTGCCTCACAGGAAGCAGCACAGAAAATTTCCCGGGTTTAATAAAGAATCATAGAATCACAGAATTGTTTGGACCTTAAAGATCATCTAGTTCCAACCCTGCTGACATGGATAGGGAACCTTTCACTTGACCAGGTTGCTCCAAGCCCCATTCAATATTGTCTTGAACACTTCCAGGGGTGGGGCATCCACAGTTTCTCTGGGCAACCTGGGCCAGTGCTTCACCACCCTCACAGTAAAAAATTTCTTCCTAATACCCAATCTGAACCTGTTCTCCTTCAGCTTAAGGCTGTTCTCCCCTGTCCTATGAGTACATGCCCTTGTGAAATCTCCTTCTCCAGTTTGTATGATTCATATAGGGTTATTTAGAAAAACAATGGCAGAGGGGGCTTCCCTGCATGGTGGTGTCAGGATATTCACTATCCTTTGAACAGCCTGGACACAAGACCAAAGCCATCTCTGGAAGTTCAGTTGCTGCAGCTAAATACTCCAGAGTGTCTGGAGACATGAGGAACCAGCTGCTAGCTCTCCAAGCACTCCACAGCCTACCTAGGAGGATTTCAAAGCACCTCAGTGCCTAATCTCCACTGATGTCTGCAAAAGCTGTGTGTTTAGCTCCTTTTGGAAATCTGGTCCTGGCACGCATGGGTGATGTATGCAATAACAATGCCCAGACAGACAGGCAGACAGCTTGTGGCGCCATCAGCCTGGGGTTTGTTTTACATAGCAAAACTCTGATTTTTGAGAAATCTGCCCCTTTAAGTTTGCCTTTCATCAATCTTCTTGCATAAATAATCACACATGTTCTGAATAGCTGAGGTTGTAATCAGTGCCTCTCCATTTCTGCTGGAGCAGCTGGAATCCAGACAAGGCACATTACAGGTGGATCCTGGTCTCTTTTCCCCAGCTTTCTAACACATCACTTGTGCTCTTTGAATGCATAAAGCAGCTCAGTCCAGGCGTGGCCCAAGACAAAAATAAGCCTACCAGTGTCTGGGGAAGGTTCTTGCTATCTTGTAGATGTGGTGCTTAGGGACAGGGTTTAGTGGTGGACCTGAAAGTACTGGGTTAGTGGTTGCACTCGATGATCTTAGAGGTCTTTTCCAACTCTAATGATTCTGTGATTCTAGTCTCTGCCCAACAATCAGTGCTCAAGTGCATCCACAGCAGAAGCTGAGCTTTGTGTGACCCTCTGGCACTTACCCTGCCTCGTTGAGATGGCTACCTTTGGGCAGGAGAAGACCATAATTATAGCAGTCAGTGGAAAATGCGCACTTTCTGTGCTGTTCTGACATGATCTTTAATCAATCTGAAGGTAATCTGACCTTAAATAGTTTGGCAGAATATTTGCCAGTAAATATTAAGCACAGATGAACTTCAAAGACTGTTTTCCCTGACTCTGTAGCATAAACTTCTTATGCTGTCCCTGGTTCAGGAATGGATGTTTACTTTCTCCTCTCCTTCACATTTGTGTGATCTCAGTTTAACTCCAGTGATTTCCCTGAGGCTCTGTCCACTTTACTTCATAGGAAAGATAAAGGAAAAAAGAATATTTGGGAAAAGAAGAAGGAGAGCATAGTGGGAAACATGTCCTTCTAAAGGGCCTGCCTGCAGCATCTCTCACTTCTCTTTTCCTTCCCTCCCTCTCTGAGTCAAGAGAAATACTCCTTATAATTCTCCTTGTGTTTCAGACAAAGTAAACCCAAGTTAGCTCAGGCTGGTGAAACAAGGGGGCTTTCACACTGAGAAACGGTCACAGGAGCTCCTCCCATAGCAGTTCTGAAGTGGCTTCCAGGAGTAGGGTGGTGACATGGAGCTGAGTGTAGTGATGCCTTTAAGTGCAGAGGACACCTTGGAAAAGTAGCTTTTCTTCTGAACTCCTGCTTAATTTCTCAGGATGTCTCACATGCCCACAGCGTTTCCAAAGGAGTTTCTGTCGGGAATAAGATGATATTTTAATGCCAGAAGTATAGCCTGTA